TGCCTTCCTATCCTGAAAACAGTGGGAGAAGAAAAATGAAGCTGAGCCTCTAATATAGTACTGAGGAAGTCAGAAGGAAGAAATATTGATGTTCGTATGAATCTGGCATATGTATATATGTTTGACAGCTGATTTTGCGTAAAGCTAAGTTTAAAAAAAGCTTTTAATAAACGAGTGGGGAAAAACAGACCTCAGAGATGTGTGTGCTGGAGCAAGCAGCTGAGTGGGAAATATCCTCAGCTTGGTTTCAGGCAGGCTGAGAATATCTTGCTTTTCCCATGGCTTTCTTTAGGACCAAAGGGAAACTGACAGCCTGTCAGCTTTTCTTTGTCAGGCTGGCAGGGTGCTGAAAGCAGGGAAGGTTTCTTCCAGTCACAGATGGAATTTAGAAGGACCAAAAAGCCTGTGACAAAGCTGGAAATGAATGTGTAAGGTATAAATATAACACGCGTCTACTCTCCTTTTAGTGATATTTGGCCCTTTTGTTTCTGTGCTTCATTGCCTGAAGATACAACCTGTTTGGTTGAGACCTGTTCTTTTCCATTAGTTCCTATTTGTTTGGCAGTAGATCACTGCAGGAAAGGTCTTTTGCGTGCCTGGTGCATTTATGTTTGTAGTAATAATAATGTGAGTGAAAAACAGAATCAGTTGTAAGCAGTGTGTGTAACAGTACTTGGACCAGGTAATCCAAACCAAAAGAAGATGCAAGAAACTGGGTTTGTCACCTTAATGAGCTTGAAGTGTGTAGAATGCTAAAGGAAGTGTGTAGCAGTTCAGCCTGTTCAACTGAAAAATGGCTGACATCCCTGAATGCATGAACTTTAAAAATCAAGAAGAAATATTACATTATATTATATTACTATAATATTATAGTCACTCAAGAACACGAATGTATTGTCTAATTTTGGTGCTAATAATTCTCCAGTATGAAGAAGAAAGAAGAAAATGAGAACCTGGCAAAAGCACACAGCCATATTGTGAGATTGGAAACTGGGGCAGCTAACAGAGTGCAGTAATGGTGCTTTGCCACTATAGAGGCTCTGCAGGAGACCCTTCAGAAGACATATTTCTTAGAACTTTGCATTAAAGGATTTTGCTTCCTTACCAGAGACAACTTCAGAGATGATGCACTGCAGGCAGAATAGTTGCCAAACTGAGGATGCAAGAGCTTGGCATAGCCACGGGAAGGAGAATTTCAACTTGCTCAGAGCAAGGACATTGTAATAGTTAAAACGAGCAGTTGGGCTTTGTGATATTTTTAAGCTCTAAATTAAAAGGCATATATTTAACTGTCTGAAATGCATTGTATTCAGTTTGTGTAGATGAAGAGTGAAGACATCCTTGAAACTTGTGCCTAAAGTATTTCTCTTCAGCAAACCAGCTGTTTGTAGGAGTGAGATGAAATCTTAAAACAGAAAGCTGCATCTCTTGGACTATAAGTGCAAACCAGACATTCTCAGTTGTGTGTTAAAGATGCACTGGTTTGTAAATTCCCACTGCTTGTGTAAACATGGGAAGTGCGTTGAGTAGCTTACGTACTTGTCTTGCATGCTTCTGCTCTGGAAATGTCGGTCCAGGCTGTGTGCAATCTTCCTGAGGAAGACTTTCTGGTTGTTCAAAAAATTCCACTTTGAAGTTGACTGCGCGCTGCAGCACAAGATGAGAGATTTTGTTGACAGTTCAGAAGTAATGTGTACCATTTGGGAGACTTCACAGAGCCTCTGCCTCCTCAGCTGGGAGATTGTTTGGTGTATTTGCGCTTTATTCCCCCGAAAGATTCTGATCAAAACTCACTAAACTACTACAGAAATCAGCAGTGGCTTTGATTAGGTTGTTATGTAAATGGTATTTATTTTGGATAATTAATTTTCCTACCTGATAGGATGGGTTTCTGTCAGTCTTTCAGCTTCCAACATCCTTTGGATGGCTTAGGGCTGATAAAAAACAAGGGTTGCACCCAGTGGTTGTGGAACAGTACGTCTTCACTCACTGGAGTGAGTACCAAGCTTAGTAACCCAGTTTGACAACTTTCACAGTGACTGGGGGAGCAGATTTTTATCCTTTAACTCTGCATGGGTCTGTCACTACTAGCAGAGTCATGAATTTTGGCGTCTAAAGAGTGAATGACCAGAATCAGATATCCAGCCCAAAGGACATAAAGCTTCTGTTGTCTATTAATTTTAGATCTTTTTTTCTTCTTTTTCCCTGTAATACTGAAACTGTAATACTTCGTTCCTTCCCACACAGACACAAAATCATCTGAGGGATCAGAATAATTTAATATTAAACTTTACATCTTAACATAGGTTTTTGTGAACTCTGTCAGCATTTAACACCGGTGGGTCCAGTTTTCAAGTACAAAATACAGCTATTTCCTTCTTTAACTTACACTGGAGAAATTCTGGGGTGCTAAGCATTGTCTTAAGTTGGTTTTGGTTTAAGGAAATAGAAACACTTCTGATCTCAAGCTCAGTCATTTTCCTGTGAATAGCTGTTTTTAGAATAACTGTTTTTTGTAACTGTGTCCACATCCATTGAAGTCAAACTGGAGATTTTGGTGATCAAGGTCTGTTGAAATAAGGCATCCAAAGGCTTACACGTAATCAGACTTTCAATAATGATGGTAAACTAGTAAGCTTTGCTGTACTACACTTCTAGCTGGAATTCACTGAACTGGTAGAGAGGCAGATGGCCATGTGTGAGGTCCTGAGAGCTCCTGTGGCTGAGGGCTGCTTACTCTGGATGCCACTGCTGAGAACAATACAGTCTCCAGCCCTAGCAGCTGATGTGCAGGAATGTACACAACCTTTTTGCTATGTCACTACAGTACATGCTACTGGAACCTATTAAGGAGGGAAATACTTCAGCCATAGCACGGACAGTCCAGTTTCACTCTAAGCAGGTTTGATTCCTGGAAGGAGCACAGGTGGAATATGGTTTTGCTTTTTTGTTGTTGTTGTGAAAGTGGTCCATATCTCTATCAGTCTTGAAGCAGGCATTTGTCTTTTGCACTTAAAGAAAAACAGGAGCTAGGTGTTTGTTTGCTTGTTTAAATCTGTAGATCTTGGAAGTCCTAGGGGACACCTTGTTGAGTTAGCAGCCAAGAGCCCTTGCAAATGAGAAGGCCACCAGCATCCTGGGCTGTATTAGGAAGTGTGTTACCAGCAGGTTGAGGAGATTGTGCCTTCCACTTTGCTCAGTACTGATGAGATACTTCTGGGGTATGGATCCAGTTCTGAACTCCTTATCGCATGAGTAAATTATTTTAGTTACTGCTTATTCTAGGCTTTGGAGCACCAGAGAAGTCCTTTGTCAAGAAAGCTGGAAGTAAAAACTATTTCCCTTTTTAAACAATGAGAGATAGGATCTGAGGCTGAACTGAGAGTCTCAGTGCTTCTATGGACAGGATAAACTCAGGATGTTGTCCTGTGGCTCCATTATCACTATGACAGCCTAGAAAACTCCTCAGGTGATGCCATGGTGTGACTGAGTTTTCTCAGAGACATGATGAACAAACCTGCTTAGGTACAGGAGGGTGTGTGGAGACCATGTTGATCTGTTGAGAAAATGTCTTTTAATTAACTTTCCAGAGCTGAAGGATGTTCTTTGTGCCTGTGGAGTTTTTCTTCTGTGTATTGAAGGCTTTATTTTTTTTTCCTTAGGTCAAAATGATACATCTTGTAGCTCTGTGGCTGGTTTAAATTCATGGGATGCCCCCCTCCAGCCTGTACCTTTTTTCTTAGGAAAGACAGGGGGCAGCTGTTAGGGCAGTAAATCACTTGAGCACCCTAAAGCTGTGCCTCTGCCTTTGCAGAGCTGGGGCTGCTCGTGCAGCCTGCCTTGTGCAGGTCTTTGTTGTAGCAGCTGGTAATGTGAGGTGTGCACCAGGCTGTGTGTGTGCCAGAAGGATGGGCTAGAAACACCAGCTTGGATAGGGAAGAGTTCCAAAACTCAGATGTGGTTTGTGGGCTGCCAGAGGCTGGGGAACACGGTGTTGAGTGAGTAAAAGGATGGCCTCAGCAAGCAAAACACACAGATCACGGCTCTGCTGTGAGATGTGGGATGATGCCACAGGGCATTTTACCATCTGGGAGTGCAGGGCGTTCCTGCAAATGTTATTAAGGAAGTTCAGGGAGCACGAATGTGACACTGAAACAAAACAGTATCAATCTGTTGGACAAATAGGAGGTGTTCTGGCAGGTGCTCCTTAAGCACCGAAGGAAAAGGAAAATATCACTGCTTTAGTTCAAACATCTTCCTTTGAACCATACAGACTATTTCCTAATGAAGATTCTGCTGTAGGAACTGCTTGTCACGTGGGGCAGTTGTGCCCGTGTGCACGTGATGCCTCTGGGAGCAGCTCGGGGACACCACAGTGCGTGTGCTGCTGAGCAGATGTCTGCCACCATTAGATGGGGTGCGCGCATCTGGGGCACTGTGCATCTACAGCATGGCTGGGAGAAATACAGAGTGGAGAGAACAAATCCTGTTGTGCTTCTTCCTGGTTCGTACTGTGACAGCTGCCTTCTGTGGTGGAGTACTGCTGTGAAGGGGAGAAAGCTTTCCTTACTGTAGCTGCGTGTTTTTGGTTCAAGTCGTTACGCATAGGGACTGTAAGTGTCTCCTTAATTATCTCTGAAGGAAACTACACAATGCTTTTCCTCTGCCATTGTGAAATCGTGCTTTAAGATGTGACACACTTCTGATTCACAAAGTTAAGAATTACATTTCTCTTAAAATAAGTGAAAAATGCATTGTGTGCTAGAGATAGCTGAGTCTTGCCCAGGGGTAATTGAAACTCATGGCGCTTGTGTAAAGAGGTCTTGACTCTCAGATGGGTGCTTGGCAGACTTGGTTGACCTACTTTAGCTCTGACCTTGATTTGCTCAGAGGTGTTTATGATCAGCTTTCCTGCGTGATTAAGCTAGTCACATGACTGCTTTTTTTTTTTCTTCTCCTTTTAAAGGGATGAACAGTAAGATTTGATTTCATTGCCTCCTTTTACAAGGGGTTAGACAAAAGAGATTGCACCCACGAGAGGGAAATCCTCAAGGAAGTGGTCTGAAATGGGCTGTGGAGAGAAGTTCTTGTGTGGCACAATGACAAAATGTAATCAGGAAGTGGCCTACATGGCATTTGTTCAAGTAGGTTCTTGGAGTACTTTCTCAGCGGGTAAGGTTCATAAACAGAAGATTTGGGCTTTGCTTGTGTTTATGGATAATTATTGTGTTGCTTTTCATAGAGGTTTTTTTGTTGTTTGTTTGTTTGTTTTTAGCCATTGAAAAACTAGCATTTTGAGGCTGAAAAACTCAAATATTCCCTTTTCAAGAAGTTTGTAAAAAGCCCTGACACAGATTACTTCTCTGAGTTGCTGCCTGTTGGTTACAGTGGGACATGATGGCTTTTGCTCTGATCCTTGTGTTGACTCTTTGTAACTTTAATCCTCATCTCGAGAGACGGCTGTGATTTTCAATTCCCGCAATGCTGATGTGTAGGGCTATGGTTGCGAGAACTGAGACAAACATTTAGGACATGGCAGAGAAAGGGCTGATAAGTAAGAATTGGAGAGTTCTGTTTTTTTTTAATGTAGTTTTTCTCTGCTTAAATGGCTAATGCGCCTCAAAGTAACTGCTTTGAAACTTCTGTTTTGATATGAACAAATTTTTGTGCATTAAAGTACATCAGTGTCAGTGTTGTGGTTTTTTTTTTTAAGCATTCTTCAGTAGAACTGTGTTAAATTTAAAATGGGTATTTTTTTCTACTTTCTTTCTTAATTCCAGCATGTCCCACCCTGCTGTCAGGTCATCATTAGTGGTCAGTGAGATTATATTAAACAGTAAAAAGTGGTTTTAACAACTGTGCTCACATACAGAGGTGGTCAGGAGCTTTTGAATTTTAAAGGTGGATGCTAGGGTCAGAAATTTTGGGGAGTACTTGTTTCTAGTTGGTGCATTATACACTGCTCAGGGTTTTGCATTAGATTCTAAGATCAAATTATGGATGCATGTTAGCCAGGCAGCATATAGCTGTAGCTACCTTCTGCACCTGACTGAGGTTGAGGGTAACATTTCTACATCTGAAACAAGAGCAGAGAAATGATGAGTGACTGTGGCTTTACTGGAGGGTTGTGTGTTAATGTGCAGTAATCTCATAAACCATAGTAACATAGTTGAGTTGATACTTGTTGAACTGCTTGAGTAGGAGAGACAAAGTAGACAACTAGGAGAAGGCTGATTTAAAATGAAAGTAAAGTCTGGTCTACAGGTAGTTGTATTAGTGTGTGTGAGAGCCTTCTTGTAAGCTGTGGTTATGGAGGTGATGGCAATTCATAATTTGCTTAAAACTTGTGATATTTTAGCATTTTGTCAATGTCTTCCTCGTGCCAGCTGGCCTCTTAACTTACCTGTACCAATATGCCCACACATTCATAAAGACCTGACTCCTTTTTCATTTTTGAGAACAGGCCACTGAGGGGCTGTCCAATGAGATGCTTGGTGAGCCCTCAGAAGCAGTCTGGAAAGTCTGCTTCTACAGCAGCAGTCTTGTGCTCACAAGCTAGTGATACAAAAGTCATGATTTGCCTGACCTGAAATTTAAGCACTTTGATCCCAAGCAATTACAGTTGCTACTGTAATAGGACTAATGAGTTTCAGTTATTTAATTCTGAATTTGTTGTTCTGGCAGAGCTGCAAAAAGCGATGCTAGTATTTTGTGGAGCTTCTGTTAGCTTCTAATTCTTAACATGTTAATGTATATATATGGGATTCAATAGAATTGGTTATAAAGTGGCCACATTGACGGAATATTAGTTTTTAGGCTTGAGAACTTCTGCAGGTGTCATAGGAACTCATCTGTGTTCTTGGGAAGTTCTGCTTGCATCGCAGGTTGGAAAGGCAGATGCAGTGATCGCACATATCAACCAGCAAGGAGCATATTCAGAAGACTTGCAAAAGCTTTTGCAAGAGGTAGTCCTAGAATGGTTTTCACATCTCACGTAGTTGAGTTTTTCATGAAAAAAGTGAGTTTTGTGGCAGGAATCTAGGAAGGAAGAACAATCATCTGCAGTCCATCCTCTGTCTTTGCATTGTCATTGAGGGACACATCTAAGGGCTTGAGTTTCCAGTATGAGATGTGAATTTTGTTTAAAGCTTGAAGCCTGCAGAATAGGACAAGTTTAACCACTCTTGCTTTGGGAAATGCCAAGTGCTGCTGGAAGGGAAAATAAAATCATAAGCCCAGCCGAAATTATCTTAAAGCTATGGCTACCTTAACATTAAAACAGCTTTTCTCTGCAGTGTAACAGCAGTTTGACTTATTTTGCAAGCATCTGACAACAAATGCTTTCAGATCTGATGATATGAATGGAGAAGGCTTATGTGATTAGCTGCAAAAACCAAAGAGAGATAAAGGCTCAAAGGAAATGATGCTGGGAATTTCCTTCCATTTCAGTACTTGGTCTGCTGGAAATGACATCTAACCCTTCTGAAAATGAATGAAGCTCCTATGCTTTATAAGGAAATGAATATTCTACTCTTGAGTAGATGAGACATTGTATTTCTCACTTAAAGCATCTGTTTGCTGCTGTAAAAAATGTCCAAACCAGATGTTGTAAACAAACTGGCCTTGAAGGTGTTTTTTACATTTCTTATGGTTGCTGCTTTTCTTTCCATTCAGGTTATTGAGAGTACCTGACTAACAGACTATGAGGCATGAAAAAGTTGTAAGGTGTTCAACTGCTTCAGGCTGAGCATCCTCTTCTTCTTCCAGGTGGATTTAGGCTTCCAAGAAAAGCTTTCAGGTAAAATCTTGTTGCTTCACAACTGATGGCATTCAGTAATGGATAAGCTTTTCACAGTGTTTCTTTCAGCTATGTGATGTTTGCAATCTAGAGGTTTATATTGTGTACTTTCTAGATGAAAAATGCACGTTACATTCTTCTGTATTTTTAACTAACTTGTCTTAGACCTTCCCTGAGTTATTAGGGTTTTTGAGGGGGGGGGTATGCTTTGGTGGAGGTATTTATTTAATTCATTCATTTTGTATCAAAATCTTTGGAATTCTGTTCCATAAAATTTAGGGGAAGTAGAACTCTCAAACCTTGTGGACTTTAAGAATATGGTCTTCAAATGAAGGAGAGAGGTGTGAAAATTGGTTTTCCCACTAAGCAGAAGAAAGAACTTATTCTTTACTTCTGTTAGGTTGCAGCAGTGCACTGGGCAGTAAACACAAGAGTAAACCTTTAGTTAAAAGTCATGTTGACAATGGGTGGAGAACCAGGGTGGAGGGAAGCCGCTCTGCATGTCACTTCTTGATGAGCAAATATGGATACACAGAATGTACTCAGTGCTCACACCTGAAAATACAAAGGAGAAGTCTTTAATCTTGCCCTTCATATTGATGCATGTTTGTTTTCCACTGGAGGAGGAAAAAAGTGGAATCATAAGATTCCAGGCCCAGAGTGATTCTCCTCCCCCTCTGCTCTGCCGTGGTGAGGCCACATCCAGAGTGCTGTGTCCATTTTTGTGCTCTCCAGTTCAAGAAAGACATGGAAATTCTGGATGGAATCCAGTGGAGAGCTACAGGGATGCTTAGGGGCCTGGAACTTAGCCCTTTTGAGGAAAGGCTGAGACATCTGGGACTGTTCTGCCTGGAACGCAGGAGGTTCCATGAGCATGAGAGGGAACTTCCTTTCTTTGGAGGTGATAGAGCACTGGCACATGCTGCCCAGAGATCTTGTGGAGTCTTCTCCTTCTCTGGAGATATTAAAAACCTGCCTGAATGCTTTTCTGTGTAACCTACTTTTGGGGAACCTGCTGTAGCAGGGAGGTTGGGCTAAATAATCTCCAGGGATCCCTTCCAACCCATTGTGATTCTGTAGCTCATGTGAGATATTTAATACACCAGTAGCTGAAAGAAAGAGAAAAAGCCTATGTCTGTTTATGGCAAAAGCAAATAATGTAATTGTAATTTTTGCAATTTTAAGTATATTAAATTGGAGATTTGTTCTGTGTGTGTATACATGTGTATTTAAAATATGTAAATTTATATGTATTAATAGTTACTTTTTTTTTTTTTTTTTTTTTTTTTTGCAACATTAGACAATCCAATGGCAGACCAAAGGATGGACATTTCCTCTACAATTAGTGACTTCATGTCACCAGACCCTGCTGAATTGATTTCCAGTTCCCTTAGCACTTCAGGAGTGGATTGTAATCGGAAAAGGAAGGGAAGCTCTACTGATTATCAGTAAGTTGGATTTCTCTCAATTTGATAATGCTGAAAAGCAGTTGCAATGGAACAGTATAATTAGAGAGATGAAATAACCTTAACCTTTTCTTGACAACCTGTTGTTTAAAGGCCGTAACAAAGAAAAATGCTACCATGCACTAAAAGGAAAATTCATTATTTAGTAATAAGAATAAGGCCTTCATCTCAGTGCAGCTGGAATTGAGGGCTATTGAATGAGGTAAGGCTCAGGAAAGAAACCTTTGCATAATGAGGAAAAAAAAAAAATAAAATTGATGAAATATATGATGTGAAGGTTGATTATGTTGACCGCATACATAGGAAGCAGAATGTCTGGCCAGCAGAAGGGAAGCTAATAATTAATTAGAAAGCAAAAGCAAAACTAGGAATAGTTCCTTCTTTTCACCAATTTTTTGCATTTTCAGTCATTTCCTGTCAGTGTGCTGCCAAACTTTGCCTGATGGGGAGCTATTTTGGTCTCCCAGTTGAATATGGGTCTGGGGAGTCTCTGGTTTGCTGCAGTAGGACTGCCTTTTGTTTTATCAAGTGACTTAATCTTGTATTGCTCTCCGGTTGCAAACTATTATTCCTGGTAGAATAAAGATTTGTTTCTTGTGGATTGGTGGTAGTATGTTTTCATTTCAAGAAAGCTGCTTCTCTTAAAGGGATGCTTGCTACTAACAAAGCTTAGAGGCACCATCTAAGCCATACCTTCTGTCTTAGGGCAGGTATTTGAAACAGAAAGAAATCACACCAACTGTGCTTTAGAATGGTGAAAGTTGCAGTAATGTGTGCCATGTTTCCAACTGTGTAATGTCTTCTGCTCTAAGTACACCAAGACCAACGTGCTTACTGTAAGTCACTATGCAAACTTCATGTCAATTGTAACTACAAAGCCTAGCTGCAGGGTAACCCTTGGATAGGCCCCTTCCATTATTAACACAGCTACATAATCCATTTCTATGTAACTTGGCACAGATTTTATCATTGTGGGCCTTCTCACAGTTGGCATTTCCTTCTACGTTAATCTGTGCTGAGGATGCCAATTAAGAATTCTGTTCCCTGTGCATGGAGATAATTTTTAGGAGAAGCTAGGTGCAATACTAATTACTGTGTACAGACCACGAGTGTACTGCATACGTAGCTTCTGTAATATAAGTTTAGCCTTCTTGAAAAGTACATGATTCCCTCTAGTTGAATTGACTCCTACAAAACTCAATGAAAAGCCTCAATCTTACCAACTTCCTCTTCTCTAGAAAGGATTTCTCCATCTTTATACTTCTGAGTAGGAAGCATTGCTCAAGTCCTCTTTTCCAAAAGACAGCTTGCTCTTGTAAGTTCTAATTCTGCCCTCTAGGTTGTGTGTGCATTTTATTAAATATGTGAAATGCTGTTTCCTTGAGTCAGTTTATAACAGCTGTCATTGTACAGAGTTCATGTTTTGTTGCAAAGAAAATGGTGACTAGTGAATATTCCTATTTGTAAGTAGAATTTAAGGTAGAATTCCTTGATCCCTCTTTCTATGTGTATGTATGTATAAATGTTCAAGAATTGCTACTGTTCAGCTTTTGCTGCCTATACAGTTATTTATTTGTTTTTATATAAATGGTGTGTGTCCAGTTTTACTCTTCATTTACCAATGAATTCAGGATGTGAGGAACAACCTGACTGTTTTAGTGTGCATTCACTCATCAAATACAAGCAAGCTTATTGGTCAACAACAATTTCAACTTTCCATGCAGGTTCCTTTCAATCTTTCTGCTGCTCCTTTCCCATTGAAATTCCTCTTCAGCATACTGATATAATTCCAGCTAAAGTTATCTGTTCTCTATTACAGCGTGTTTTAGTCAAATGCTGGAATCCAGGGCTTCATGCACAGGTCTATGAACACGTACTTTCTGTTGTTGGCAGTAGTGTTTTAAGTTGGAACAATATTAATAAGAAATGACAGTATCCTGAAGCATTTGTAAATTACCCTGTAGCCACTATAAAAGTCTCTTCCATATCTTGTTTTGCCACAAGAAGCATCTTGTAGCTAAAAGTGGCACCACGAGTGGAGAATTGATGCCTCATTTCTAAGTCCTATGCTGGTCCTGCGTGCTGTTTCTTTGTGAGCATCAGAAGCACTTTGAACTATTATCTAAGTCAGTAACTCAAATATACAAATGGAGAGATGAAAAAGCCTTTAGCATTATTCAAACTTCTTTCAAGCCTAATGACAAAGGTGATTAATTAAGAGGTGCAATGAATAACATATAGAAAAATTTTTAAGAATGCTAATGTCCAGTATTGTGTGGGAATAAGTAATATATCAGTAGCTAACGTGAGAAGTTCTTTCCTAAGACTTTAATGAAACCTAGCTTCGCAGCATATTAAAGCTCAGTGGTATTTGAGATCATTCTACAGACTTGAAGTGATGCCAGCAGTTAATTGCATGTAGAAATTCGTTTTATTTTTCTTTTGATACAGTAAAATCTGTATAAAGTTCTGCTGGGCGGAATAAAAAACTGAGATAGTTGAGATACATGTTGGTATTTTATTCCTGGCTTTGAGTCCTCTGAAACTCCAGTTATCTAACCACGAGGACAGCAGGCATGCAGCACGGATCTTTTGTTTCTGCTGACAAAACAATATCTCAGTGATATGCATTATAATTTATATAATAAATTTAGGTCAGTTGTACTGATTTTTCACATGCAGTGTAATGGATTTGATGCCTTCAGAATGCACTCACTGCTCATGTCTTCGTTCTTTTTTCATTTCAAATAGGATATAAATTAGCTTGAGAATTTCAACAGAAAATGAGAGATTATTATTTCATATAGATGGTGTACTTTATTTCTCTTTCTTTTCAGACTTGATGGCTTTCCTTTTGAGTAAGTATAAATATTTTTATAATTGGTTTCACTTGAAAAAAGATGCTTAATGTTTTTCCATGGTTTTCTGATTTTTAAAAAAACAACACAACAACAAAACAAGCAGAATAAGGCAGGCTTAGGATTGCCCATGTAAGTGCATTTGTACAGATTTATCTATATCAGAACATCCTCTTCCTCATTCTTTTGTCTAACAGCCCTGTAGTGCTTGGCATTATTTTTCAGACGTTGAGACAAAAGTTGTACTACTTTAAAACGTGCCTGCTTAGCTTTATACACACTCTCGTCCACCCTGTACGTTTGGCTATTCCAGTGTTGCAGTGCATCATGTGGGTCTAGATTATTGCCATCTCCTATTCCAAAATCAACCACAGTAAGGCACAGCGAGGTTCAGGACACAGACATGAGTGAATTCAGGGCAAACTGTGCGTTCTGTACTGGCCCTCATGATAATTACGTGTGTTGAAATGCCTAACTGTAGTAAATGCAAGTTAGTAGCCCTCATTCTGGTGAGGGCGTGAAAAAGATCTGCTTTGATAAGTCCTTTTTGTTTTTATCCCTCTAGTTAACTGAAAAACATTTTTATAACAGATGATGTCTTTGAACTGCAGTATGCTTTACTGTCAAACACATCAAGCTGTGCCATTTTGTTTGCTTCAAAAGAAATGCAAGAAAATGTTGTAATACTACAGAAAATGCTGTAGTTTTTCCAGGTTATTGCTTTTAAATTCTTCTTTTTTTCAAGGATGTAAGGGTGATTGCAACACTTTATTCTAATTTTATGCTAGTTTGCTAACAGCCTTGCTAACGCTGCTTAGTTTGTGATACATTGCTTTATTCTGTTTTTGCAGGGAAGGTATGGATACAGATAAAGATGACCAACATGGAAGGTACTATAGACATGGTCACTAAACTGTTTGCTTCACAGTGCTGATGTAGGATCTGTTTCCAATATCATGGTCAGGTGTCTCAAACTGTTTCTTTTTTGGGACAGAGGTATAAGATCACTGCATGAAGTAAAACAGTTAAAGAAAATATCCAGTGCTTTGAGCCCTACCGCAATATTGTTAATAATGTTATTTTCTGAGGAAAGGCTAAATAAATATTCAGATCTTAAAAATTATTCTAATAAAGATCATTAGGAACGTAAGATATGCTAAAAACTGTTTTCAATACTGTAACTTTGTGATATTGTTTCTTAACAGGCTGGAGTATGCAGACCAACAAGGGAGAATAAAAAATGCAAGGTAATGCTCTCAGCAAGCATGAAAAGAATTTGCCTTTTGCCATATATGAATACCTGTGTGTATTTCTTTTATTCTGAGAATTGTTTTTTCTAGCATGGACCTTCTCCTTGTTTTTGTTATCTTAGCATTGCTAACTTTTTTCATATATGAACTACATGTAGCTTTGTGGAAGTGATGGAACGTAGTTTTGTTTTAGTCACTTCTGTCTGGAAATTATAGCCTACACTTGTTTCTTAAATATTGCATTCTTTCAAACTCAGTAGTGGGTTACAGAGTGTTAATAGTGACTCCTAAGATATGAAAATACAGAACAAGAATTAAATGATTCAGTGTTTGTCATCAGTTTTCCTGGTTAGGGAGAATTTAGTTCAAAATTATCTTGGATATTTCAAAAGAAAAGTTGTAGGATGACTAGAAGACATACAGCCTCAGCAAAAGATAGTTTTAAATACTGCTGTGTTGATGTAGCATACTTATACAAATATGTAGTTGAATGCATTATTCAGTGTACTGCATGGGCAACACTGTGTGTGTTCTCTGGTAAAGCAGAGCCAAGCGCTGCAGCCCTTCCTGTAGCTTGTAACTGTTACCACTTAAGTAATGAGCATATTATTCTCTGGAAAAGTCTGTATGTACATTTTATGGGGGCTGAGAGGGTGAATGAATTAGGAGGAGGATGTTATTTTTTTGTTTTATTGTATATGATTTGGGGATCTTTGTTAATACAGTTTGTTTTCTCATGCTCTTCTGTTTTTCCTTCCCACCTTGCTTGCTTAGGGAGGCTCACAGTCAAATTGAGAAAAGGCGTAGAGATAAAATGAACAGTTTTATAGATGAACTGGCATCCTTGGTACCAACGTGCAACGCTATGTCTCGAAAGCTAGATAAACTCACTGTATTGAGAATGGCAGTCCAGCATATGAAAACATTACGTGGTAAGTTGATCGATGGGGAGCAGAGAGAACAGGGCTGGAGGGTGATAAATGGGGTTCCCCCATAGCTGTCTGTAATTTTGCTCTCCATTTCTTTCCCTTTTGACAAAAATGAGTAACCCTATTCTTGTCTGGTGTGGTTTTACTTGGGGAATTTCAAGGGCTTTTATTTAAGGGAATGAAAGAACCTGTATTTGGCAAATTCACCTGAGCAGCTTAAAATTAGCCATGTTTTCAAGTATGGAGGGGAGATGTGTAACCTTCCAGCAAAGCAGGTTTTAAATTTTGGAGCTTTGAGGGTTTCATGTTTTTTTTGAGGAGGTGGCATTTGAAAGATGCATCTTCTCAGTCTTCTGCTGTAGCAGTTCAGTTTTTTCCTGTGTGAAAGAACTGATGTAAGCAAGCTGTCTCTACCCTGGAGCTACTCGTTCTGCTGGAGCCCTGTATTTGCATCATCTCTACACTGTGCTGGTTCAAGATGAAATTCTCTTTGGAACTCTTTACCTAATTGTCTCATCTTTGAATGCTTGCAACAGCACTGTCATATACTTAGGCCCTTCATCAGATACAGCCGTGAAGATTTTTGCCTTTTCTCTTGCTTGTGTAGATGTCATTACAAAAACAAAATAGAATTTATTTTTATTTTCTGTCTCTTCCCTTAGAAATATCTTCAAACTTAGTTATGTATCAGCTCTCTTCTTCCTACAGAATCTGTGAGAATGCAGAACATACCATGTCCTAGAACAAAGAAAGCAGTTTGTGTGGGCTACCAGAGTTTGTGGTAGAAGTCATGCAAAGGCACATGCTGCCAACGTTCCAGCTCAAGGTGTGGTTAGTTTGTTTTAACACCAAGCTACCACGTCAGGGATGCGGCCTCTCTTTCCCCTCTCTCTTGCAGCTGAGCAACTACAGGATGACTTGCTTCATGGTCTGATATCCTGATCTAGCAGGGAAATTAGTGATGAGGAAGGAATAGTTTTCTGTTAGCTGACCTGACGGATTAGTGTCACTGAATACAGTGAAAGCAAGGCAGCTGAGCCCGTGGGATGAAGGAATAAGGGCTTGGATTGTAATCCGCTACTGAATCTTGCATGGCACTCATCCCTGTTCCTAGGTAGGCCATATGCAAGACTTGCTTGGATAGAGAGGTTAGATTTTGGGGGTGAGTAATATTGCTGCAGGATTTGTGATGTTTTGTGCTCTTACCTTCAGCTGTTTGTGGAAGAACGAGGAGTACTTTAAGACTTCAATTTTAGTCTTCTTAGTCAGTTGCTTTTACAAGTACCTGAAATAGGGAAATATGTGGGTTTCAAAGAGCTGGGGCTGTAGCAAAGTTCTGTGTGTCCTAAAGCTCCATATAAGAGTGAAGCGAATCAGTTGCTGGATACAATCTGTGATGATGATGAAAGCTTTAAGCCTTCAAGAAGTACGCCCCTGAGAAAGGATGCTGCTAAGTTACGGAGTCACTGTTGGAGTTTCTAGGAGACCTGGCATCTTCCAGTCATGTTTATCCTAGCATTTTTGTAAGGTGTAGCTTTTCCTGCCGCTGTCATTTGAGTAAGCTGGTATTTCATAGCAGATCAGTGGTTGCTAATTTGAATCTCTTGTCTTTATGAAGGGATCAGGATGAAAATAATTACTCTAAAATAAATAGATGGTTCATTTGCTCTGGGTTTTTTTTTGTGTTTTTTTTTTTTTTTTGCTTTTTGCATTGGTAAGTCAGGCCAGTGTAACACCTGCTTTCTGTCAATGGTATGGAATGAGAACTGATTTGTAAGCTCCTCTCTGACAATCTTTTTATGTCACCTCATTGTGTTTTCATTCTTTACTTTCTTACTTTCCATTTCTTATTGGAGATTAGAACATAAATCAAGCAGAACATTTGGGTCAAAAATATGTCAAAAAATGCTTACATCTCAGAAGTCACTTAATTTGTGTTACTGTAATGCAGTATTTTTGCTTGCAGCTAAAAATACCAACAGAGTTCATCATATTAATAAAATGAAACAAAAAATCAACTTTCATTTTAAAGAACAGGTGAAACAAATGGTGGCGTAAAAAGGAATCAAAGGAACATTGCTTATTGAGGTGTGCATTGTTTAAATCACAGATTCTGATCTGGGGATTTTGTTTTTCTTTAGGTGCTACAAACCCATATACAGAAGCCAACTATAAGCCTGCTTTTCTGTCAGATGATGAATTAAAACATCTAATACTCAGGGTATGTTTCAGCTTTTAATGATGAGATATTAGTGGCTGTTAATGGAATTCTTTCATGGCAAAACACCATTATTTTTGTGCCTGTTGTCTGAGCTTAAGAATGTTGTGATAATAGAGGATAACACAGAAATCTGTAAGACCTTTGCATGCAGTCATTAGGTTTTAAAGATGAGCAACAGCTCTGAAATTAAGCAAAAGGATTTCAGGGGGAGGGCTGACAAACATGTTGTTTAGATAGTAACGATATGAATTTTCAGTTATTTCATGAAATAGACTAAAATTACATCAAAAAAGAATTCTGACAGACTTTCTGCCACGTATGACCTGGACAAGATTTTTAGCATATAATGTTATAGGAATGCCTTGTTTTGAGGTCACTGATGTCACGTGGCATGATGTGTTTGTATCCTTGCTGTATGCATTTATAGCACAGAGAGAACATATTGCTAGTGTAAGTTGTCAAGCACTGCAGTGCTCAGATGCAGCATGTTTGGAATTTAATTTCTGCAGCATTGTGACTTTAGAGCTGTAAAGGTAGGGCCTAATACTGCATGCTGGTATGTGGCTGAAAAATAGGACTTTCAGAATGGGAACAACTTGCCTGTGGACACGCAAATAAATACCCAGATTATTTTGGTTTCCAAAATAGGAACTCTGGAATAAATGCATTTAAAATATCGTTTTAAAAAAATGGACATTATTAAACATAATTGTAATATTACTGGACAAAATATGGATGCATTCTTCTAATACAAGTGATTGGTGATTCTGGGCACAATTCCCAGAATGATGCCAGAAATGTTAGCAGATGAAAAATAAAACCCCCAAAATGTAATTTCATATCTTGTCTGTTGACTCAGATATCTCTAAATGTTAAGAGAGTTCACCTAGTGTGGAAATCCTGCTGTATACAAAGTGGTTTTAAACGTTTAATGATGCAGTGAAGATGTATAACTTAGTAATTTACTTCTCCTCTGCCTCCCCCCTTCCCCCAAATTAGGCAGCAGATGGATTTCTTTTTGTTGTGGGCTGTGACAGAGGGAAGATACTGTTTGTTTCAGAATCTGTCTTCAAGATCCTCAACTACAGTCAGGTATTCTTTTCCTTTTTAAGTAGCGTTGGCCTTAAAAGATTTGAAAACAATTTTATTGTTATGCATTTCTATGGGAGGGTTTTTTGTGTGAATAGTTTGTCCTGAAAGCTGAGATTTTTTGCAAAGAAAACTTTTCTCTGTCATGCTATTAGACAAGATTGCTTCTGGCTTCCATTCAAATGAAAGAGGTAAAAAGGTACTAACTTGACTTTACTGATTGTGACACATTCTGTTTGGGTTTTCACCATCAGGCTTGCAGAAGTGTTCACTAATTTGGCTTGTATGCATATATTGAAAAATCGGCCTGAGGTTTCTCCAGTAGCATTACATGAATTTTTCATCTTGGTTAAATTTCTGTTCTGTTTTTGCTAGCATTCTTACTGATGGAAACTGGGAAGCAATTGTAACAAAGCCAGGATTTTGATATATGCTTAACATGAGGCGTAACTTAAAAATATACATTGTATAAATCATTTTTCATTCTTTCTGTTGCCTGCTCTCCTTTCCAACTTGAAAAACTGTATCAGCTTCAAAAGTTTTCATCAGGCATCCTTTAGTTGGGTATTTACTAAATAGCAACTAATTGCGTAAATATTAAAGAAGAACAATTATGACTTGAAATGTGTAGCATACAAAAGGAAGCTGAAAAGAAACTGGAATATCTGTTGTTGGTGGATTGAGCATGCTGGTTTTTTAAAACTCTTACTGAAAATAATGAAAGTACTTAATATGAAATGTAGCCATAGCTGTGGTGAATACTAATACCTTCCATTTAATCCTGGATCTGAGATGTTTGATGTTCATTGGTTAGACCAGTTCTTTATGACTGATGCTAAAATTGGGAAAATATACAGTACAATTATTTTAATTTTTGACTGAGTATTCAATCCCTACAGAACGATTTAATTGGTCAAAGTTTATTTGACTACCTTCATCCTAAAGACATTGCCAAAGTGAAAGAGCAGCTATCTTCTTCTGACACTGCACCACGAGAAAGGCTTATAGATGCAAAAAGTGAGTGTCCTTTCTTTTGAACAGTACTGCCATATGTTTGGTGAACGTGCAAAGTGTTTGTGGGGGGTGCTGTTTGGATTGCATGTCGTGCCAAGGAAGAGAGAGAAGAGAAAATATAAATTGGATTCCTGCAGTAGATGCTTTCGATTAGCTGGCTTTGCTTGTGAGGTACTGTCTCTTCTCCAGGCATGGAAAGTTTTGCTTTTTTTTCCCCGCTGAAACATATGAAGTGTTGTTCTAATCTTTCATTCTCAGTGGTCGAAGTACACTGATGTTATTTTGGTTATCCATAGCTGTCAGTTGTGGAAGAGTACTTTTTTTCCCCCAATTCCAGCAATGACCTAACCTTTCTCTTACAAGGTTTTTTACTTGGTCCTTGGAATCATTTCCTCCACTTACTTCTACTCCATTCTGGTGTTTAAAAGTAGTTCTGTATCTGTGTTGTTTAGAAGTGTGTGGGTATTTAATAAATAAAAGGAGTCTGCATTGCTTAAGTAGAAAGTGATATCTTTATAACTGCAAATTTCCAAGTTGTTAAGTCTCATGCTTGTTAGAAACAGAAATCTGTAGGACTTCATATCAAAAAAACCACCAGCTCAACTTCAGAAAGTGGAGCTAGGGGTCACTACAGGGCAAGGAGCCCAGAGGCTCAGCCTGGCTTAGCTGAAGTTTCTCTGTCACTTGTCTTTGCCTGGTCATCAAACACGTGTATCCAGTGCTATCCTTTTTTCTATATGCCTCTGACAAAATCAAGCAAAAATAAAGACCATAGTTTACAGTTTTCCCATCTGCTACAACAGACAAACTGGTAAGTTTTCAAGAACAAATATTCTTAAGAGTACTGATGTTTGTTTGTATTTTTATCTTGGCATAAGTGACTCCCATACAACCTGTACTTTCACCAGTGAACAGCAGTTTAGACTGTGTATGGTGCAGGACAGGCTGGCCTCCTTGACGTGACCTCTCTCAATTCTGGTTTCCACAGAGGCACTCTTAACACTAAAACAATGCCATCATCATTTTTCTCCTTGCATTAAAAACTGGCAGGATCCTGGAAGGTTTTGTAGCTGTTCATTTATACATATCCCCATGCAGCAGTGGTTGAAGTGGAGAGCAAGCTGTGGAAAAGTTGCTGTGTGATTTTAATTCATCAGTTTTTAGAGAACTGTCCCTTGAAGCTCCTTCTGCTTTGCTGGGACACCATTCTCTTAATGTGCTGTTTGTATCAGCACTCTGTTGCTGGTTTCCAGATTTGACATGCATTTTCAAAGAATTTTTTCTCCAGTGGTTTTCCACGGAAAATAATCTAAGATTCTCTTACAGGTATATGATAAAGGTCAGGACTCACTGATAGGGCATATTCATATGAATTTTGTAAGGACAGAGATTCTTCTTACACATAATGGGAGGTCTTGGGTGTTTGCAGTCCCTATGCGTGTCACTGCTACCCTTTCCCCCTTCCATCATGGAATCAGACAATGGCTCGTGTTGGAAGGGACCTTAAAGCTCATCCAGTTCCAACTCCCCCACCATGGTCAAGGACACCTCCCACTAGACCAGGCTGCCCTGGGCCCCATCCTGCCTGGCTTCATTGTCAGAAATCGGATATCTGGAGACACTGTAGTTGAGAGAGTCCTGGGATGGTGCTTTTTGCATAAACATATGTGCTCTCTGAGTGCATTTTATGATTTAAAAAGTCTTCTGATAGGAAGGGTCATTGGTACTGCTCTATGGGTAAATAATCTCTATTTTTAATCAGTTGATTAGTGTTCAAAGAAATCGTGTTAATTGCAAAACTTGATTGGACATTAACAATCTATTTCTAATCTTCTAATCTAAGGCTGTGTTCTCAAGCTCACAGTAGAAAATGTGATCAAAATCATTCTAATATTCATGTGGTCAGCTGAGTATCCTGCAGGTGGTCACTGAAATAAAAATCTGCACAAGAGCTCCTCTGCTTCTGAAGGAGATACAACAGCTGTGAAGTTAAAACCTCATACAGTTTGGTTATATGATGTAATTGTATGGTTACCTTTTAACCCAACAAAGGCAGCTTCCTCACTTCCTCTGTTTGCTACAGCTGGACTCCCAGTTAAAACTGATATAACACCTGGGCCATCACGACTATGTTCTGGAGCAAGGCGGTCCTTCTTTTGTAGGATGAAGTGCAACAGACCTTCAGTGAAAGTAGAAGACAAGGATTTTCCTTCAACCTGTTCAAAGAAGAAAGGTAACGATTGTGTGTGTTAATATCAAATGTAATGGCTGTCAGGCTTTTTTTTTTTATATATATATGATTGCTCAGTTGCAGTAGTTAAGTTCTTGATATTTATTGAATAGGATCAATATTTATTCTTAAGATATTGTTACATGAGCTATGTTCTGATCTGTTACTTTTTCTTATTTCGGACAGTTTCCATTCCACACTTCCCTTCAAATGTAGTATTTCTGCATCTGAAGTATTCGGTCACAATGCTATCTTTGGTTTTAATTAATGTATTTTTTTTTCCTCTGCAAGGTATTACTGCAAATGTGTTGGCATATATGTTTAGTCCAAGGTTGAAAGTTTCTTCTTTTGAGCTCTTTGGACATTTTATATTAGTTGAAGTAGAAAGTGTCAACTAGAGACAGTAACTTCAGTGTTTTGTCTCTGGATGTGACAGCTGCTCCAAGTACTGCCCGCTAATTTCAGACGTAGCTTCAACTTTCTATCACACCTTGGTGTTAACCCTGAGAAAAGTGCTTTGTGCAGTTAGGCACAAGGTTTTTTTCTCTGTCTTTCTGTCAGAGTCGTCTTCCTTGCTGTCATGAGGCCTGCTCAGTGCTGAGTAATTTGAGTTCTCCTTTCAGAAAGTGACTATACTGCTTGTCACTGTGAACCTTAGTCTTTACCCCTATAGACAGCTTATCTTCTGTATGCCCAGACTGTATATTTTCTGGCAGCCAAATTGGTTTCATTATTTGTAGGATCCTCGTGCTAAGTTGAAAAATGTCTTATTTACTTATTAATAAATGTAACATTAACTTCCTCTAGCAGTCCTTTAGGTTACTTGCATTCTTTGGTGAAATAATAAGATGTAATGCGATTTCTACTTGAGGGTGATCAGAAGAGGTCTTGGTTTGAACTCTGTGGTGGTTCACTGTTAACAATGATTTTGTTGAGGCAAACTGTATATTGGCTTACCTCAGATAAGCTGTGTTGAAGCAGGAGTACTGAGAAATCCCCTGGTGAGAAGGATGAGGATACGGAGGTGAATATTCTCAGAACGGAGAGGTGAAGTTCTCCAAAAGCTGTATTGTAGCCTAACTGCTTTTTTGTTCTTGTTTTTATAGCAGACCGCAAAAGCTTCTGCACTATCCACAGTACAGGATATTTAAAAAGCTGGCCACCAACGAAAATGGGACTAGATGAAGATAATGAGCCAGATAACGAGGGTTGTAATTTAAGCTGTCTTGTTGCAATTGGTCGCCTGCATCCTCATGTAGTACCACAGCCAGTCAATGGTGAGATCAGGGTGAAACCTACAGAGTACGTTTCTCGACATGCAATAGATGGAAAATTTGTTTTTGTAGACCAGAGGTAAGGATACTTCTGATAACTTCCACAGCAAGTTACTGTCCAACACCGATTTACTGCTAGTGTGATAGACTTAAAGAACTGTAAATATTATTGAAAAAAGACATGTCTGGTCTTTTCAACTTTATACTAAATCCCAACTCTAAGTTACTCTGCTTTTGAGACATAGCACAAAGCAACTACCCTGTACTGATCAGGTACTACTGATTCAATTAAAAAATCTCCTAAACTGTGGCTTACAGTTTAGGCAGTAGGCAGAATAATGCAGATATCAATTCTGCCCGTTTATCAGGAGGATGTACGTATGTAATCCTCAGAAGAATATGCTGTCCTATTTTGCTACTGGAGTTTGTAACTACAGCGGTTGGTTGTTTGAAATCTGCAACCACTGCATGGATAAGTTTTATTGCACAGTCTACGTCAGGCTTATATATCATACTCATTTCTGTGAGCATCTACTTGGGCATAGTCTACTGAGTTAATACCTCTGCGTGTGATCTTTTGTATTCATAAGAAATAAAACTTTTCATAAGCTTTACTTGGAATACGTTTGGGAATGTGGACCAGTGTTGGTATATATTTTTTCAAACATCAATTTTATTGTCTACTTATATATTTATTCAGGTTAATTCTTACTACTGAAAAAGAAATTCCTTGAGTTTTCTAACGTAGCAAAGAGATGTGACCTGGGGCTTCTTTCAGAATAACTGACATTTTCAAGGGAAAAGGAGTGGTTGAAGGATATTAATGAAGGGTTGTGTTGCTTGGGAAGGGCTCTTTTGTTTCCCTTCCATGCCAAGATGGGTTGAGACTGCTCAGCTGAGACTGTTTCATGTTGTCTGTAGCTTAGGCACGATTATTTACAACGTAAAAAAGCCCAGGCTCCAAATTCTGCCAGAATCTGCCTGCTGGAATTTGTTCCTGGGGTGTGTCTGTGCTCAGCTGATTCCTAGTGGATTTTGAGAGGAAATTGAGCTGGTAGTGTTAAGAAGTACAGTAAGTGATATCTTTTTCAGTAGCGTGTCTGATTGTAGTGGTTGCTTCTATTTTCTCTTTTGTTTTGAATTTCACAGTAAGTTTTTAGAAATACACGTTCTTCTGCAGCAGTACTGCTAGCTAGTGGTCGTTATGGGAGCTGGCAGAACATCACAGCCTTTCTGCTGCTCAGAAAGTGTGTCATGCTGTGATGCCAAGTGATGGTAGTTGATGAACAAGTTTTGTTTTCAAAAGATGAAACCTACTCTTCCAATAGATACTGAAGTCTTTCCAACATAATGACCCAGAAAACATTGACCAGTTGAGTTCAAACCTGTATACTCTATTTAATTGTTTTCTAGACGAAATCTGTATCTGAATGTTAAATCTGGATTCTTTTGGCTCCAGTTTAAGCCCATTACGACTATGGAAACAGCCTGTGTCCGTTCTGTTTTTGTGCTCCCTTTGAGAAGGGAGAAACAACTATAATGAAATAGCCTGCTTGTGCAGGTTAAGGAGGGAGCTCAAGCAGTTCTTCAGACCTTAGCTGTCTGTTTTTCAAAGGCACCTTATGGGGAAAGGGTGCCAATATCTTGTAGCTGTTACAAAGCAGCTTTATTCAGGTTTAAATTTTCAGAATTGCAATATTCCTCCAGAGCTGTTTAGAAACTTTCACAGCCATGGTGGTCACAGGTCTAAAATAATACCTGAGAGTCACTGGCATTATCTGTTTTTTAATTACCCATGAATTAGAAAGATTAATCTTCATGACTTTTTCCTCTCTCACCTGAAAACAGCTGTCAGCATTACTTACTCATTTTCAGAGTGACTTTTAGTAAGCTGCCACAAATAGTTCAACTTGAGAATTAGGGTTTTTTGGTTTTGCTTTTGATTGTTTTGTTTTGTTTTTAAATCTTTTTCCTCCTTTCCTCCCCACCCTTTCCTTCCCACTCCCAAGGGCAACAGCCATTCTGGCATACTTACCCCAGGAACTTCTAGGTACTTCATGTTATGAATATTTCCATCAAGACGATATAGGACATCTTGCAGAATGTCATCGACAAGGTATGATTATTAATAAATTGAGTAAATGAATTGAAAGAAATGCTGGGAATTATGATGTATTAAAAAAGCTACCCAAACCCGTTCAAGTCTGCCTGTCTCTTTCTGTAAATGCTCTAATTGATAACATTGTTTGCATGTACCAAGCAACACACTTTTTAGACTTTCATGTATTTTTAGTGAAAGCTTGAAGCTCCCATTGGGTAAAGGGGCAAACTGCAGAAATAAGACTTTTCTCCATGTGTGCAGGGAGGAGTTAATTGCACAGTTTTGTGTGATAAGGACTCTGCTTCTGCAGTCATGCTGCTGTTTCCCAAAAATTACTTGCTGTCTGTTTTCAGTTTTGCAGACAAGAGAAAAAATTACAACAAACTGCTACAAGTTTAAAATAAAAGATGGTTCTTTTATTACCTTGAGGAGTCGCTGGTTCAGTTTCATGAACCCTTGGACCAAAGAAGTAGAATACATTGTCTCAACAAATACTGTTGTTTCGTAAGTATTTTCAGTGTAGCAGATGCACACACAAGCCGATTGTTTCGCGCTGTTGTCAGATGAGTTTTGGTATTTGCTTTCATTGGGAAAACCAGCACGTCCATCTTTGTAAGAACTTCAGACAGACACGTTTCTTGGCTCCTGTGGGAACTCCCCCCTTCCACCTTTTTTTTTTTTTCCTTTGAGGGTTCTGCAGAGCTGCAGTGCCTTTGCAGTGGATGGACAATTGCAGAAGAATTAGTCTTGAGAGATGCTGTGTGTTTGAGTTGTAACAGTTTTCTTTCTGCTGTTTATCTAGCCTCCTTGCCAACCCCAATGTTTCTTTGTGTGATAGTGACTCACAAGCTACTTAAGCCCTGTAGCATTCCATTCTGACACACTGCAGAGTGACTGTTTTGCACGGCTTTCCATCACTAATTGTGTAATTCTTGAAATCCACAGCACCAACATACTTGATAGCGGAGACGCAGCCTTTCCACAGCTTGCAGCTTCTCCACACAGTATGGACAGCGTGCTTCAGGCTGGAGAAGGTAACTGCTCTGCCACCAGGAGTGGCAGTCATGCCTACGTGCACAGATTTGTTGCAGTCTTGCACAGGGAACTTCTTAGTAGCGTAAGGAAAAGTGTTGTTTGAGGCAAAAGACTGCTAATGCAGCTCTTGTCCATGTTGTCTATGCTAGCAAGTAGTTCACTCAAAGTAAAGAATAAACAGGGCTGGAGAGGAGCCTGTTCAGCTGCAGAACAATGCGGGTGTGACGAGCTATTCTTTACTGAGTCTGGACAAGAAGCTCTACCAGATGCTTGAAGCAGGCAGATTCTAAGCACCTGCAGAACGCGGCGTACCTAGCAACACAGAGAGATGTCTAAGAAACACGGCACAGCTGAGTCCAAGTCAGGGCTTCCTGTAGGTTTGAAGGTACTTAAGAAGTGGTAGAATTTAAATAGAGTTCATATAGTTCTGACCAGCTGTGGGATTCGTACATAAATATGAATGCATTTTGGAAAATGTAAGTTTTACCTGACCTGAAGCTACCTTCCTTGTTTCAGGCGGTCCAAAAAGGAGTCATCCTACTGTCCCTGGAATTCCAGGAGGAACAAGAGCTGGGGCAGGAAAAATAGGAAGGATGATTGCTGAAGAAATCATGGAAATTCACAGGTAAGAGAAAACAGCATGAAGTAATAAGTATGGTTCTTCAGAATGAAATTAAAGAAGTCTTTCTTCAAGCTGAATGCATAATGATGAAATTGCGTTTCATGAGTAAACAGCTACAGATAGCTGTTCAGAATACCTGAGACAGTCACAGCCAAAAGTGAAAGAATGACTGTTAACAGCCTTCTGACTGCCTGCTCTAAGAAACCAGAAACAGTAGGCAAAAAGAGCAGCGAACTGGAAACCAATTCCTTTCCAGACTGTTCTGATTCTTGTAACAGCCATCTCATCTCCATCCTGTCGGAGCCGTTACGTTCAGTGGGTGCCACTATTAATTTCAATAGAATTCCCATCACAATTTTAGTTTGGGGAGTTGTTCCCTTCCTGTGAAAGTGGCCTCATCCAGCAGATGCTTAGCAGCAGTACTAGTTGCAGTTTCAGTCCCTCCCCTCTAGTTTTGTTTCTGCTCCAGACCAGACACTGCCTATCTAAGAGAATAGCAGATTTAGCACAGTGTCTTTCCTGTATATAAGAATAGGAAGGAAGAAAAAATGCTGTCACTCAGGTTCAACCAATATTCTGAAACTGATCCTCCCTTTCAGTTGCAGAACGCTCACTTACTTCAGTAAGTGCAGCACTACACCTCATCACCCATGTCTCATTTGAAGAGCCTGGGTTAGTTCCAGTCCTTCCAGCTGTTACTATTTTCCAAAACTGCCTTCTGTTCAGCTTTCCCAGAGGAACGCTGTCAAGGATGAGACTTCCTTCTGCACTGCTTTTCTTTCTAACTGCCCCACCTCCATTTAGTCTCAGGACTTGTTGGTTTTATAGTTAAAATACGTTATTCTATAATAATTAAATTTAAAAAAAAAAACACAACCTGATCAAGATAGGAAGAATTGAAATGAGTGAGAAATGCCGACTCAAAGGGTATTAAATATATATAATGAGTATACATCTATAATACTGCTCTGTGTGTCCAGCACACTTCTCCAGCAGTAGCCCATTTAACAAGTCTAGATCTGTGTGATGGCGACAGCTTGCACTCTTAGCTGGTAGAAACTGAAGTGCAATATAGAAGAAAAGAGGTTTCCTCAGTAAGCAGGATCATTTCCTTGCTCCGTCTCAGTTTAGGCTGCACAAACAAATAAGGGGAAGGGAAGTAGCATGGGAAGAAGGCAAAGTTTGCAGACTGGGCAAGCTGGACTTGTTACTAGTTACCCACAAACTTTATCATGCTGTAAATTAAAAGTTGCTACAGGTAGTTTGAATAATACTGAAAATTGAGGAAACTGTACAAATGAAGTATGCCACCTGATATTGAGATCAGCACCCGAGTCTCCAAGTTTCTGGTAAACTCATTCCCTATTTCCCATACGATAGGATAAGAGGATCATCACCATCTAGCTGTGGTTCAAGTCCACTGAACATTACCAGCACACCACCACCCGATGCCTCCTCCCCTGGCAGCAAGAAGGTAAGAACAAGCTTTGTGGACAGGCTTGTAGCAGTAGTGTCAAACACGTGGAGATGATGCTTACAAAACATGTGGTGCAGAATTCTCAAACTGCTCGGCCAAAGGAGTCTGACAGCAGGTCAGAGTATTCTGGTGTTTAAAATCCCAGTACTGTTGTCTTTAATGTGCAGAGACCAGTGATTCTTAGCAATGACAGCTTTTGAAATCCACCTGCTCTTTGTTTTGCTCTTTTTTAATATTAAAAAACTGCTGCAAAGAACAGCTGTCCTTCCGTCTCTTGCTCGTCCAGAAACTCTCTCACACCACGTACTGGTGAATGCAGGAATTGCTACAGTGTGAGCACTGACGGTGTGCAAATGAATCATAAGTTACACTGTACTGCTGTAGCACAAAATATGGCAATTAGATGCTTCACTGTGCACTGACATGTTAAGTCAATACTACGTACCATGCTAAGATTGCTTAAGTAGCATTCACATACCATTACTAACACTTCCCTTCCCAACCACTGGTACTAAGCTACGTTTAAGTCATCCAGTAAATGGCTACTTACAGCTGTCATGTTCAAGACAAGAAGAGCACTTATCCATATCCTTACTCTGTGCATTCAAACGCTGCCACAGATTTATCTTTCCCAGAAATTACAGTGGCTGTACATAGGAATTAATTGACTAGAGCACATAATTGACAGTAAATATTTTTATTTCTGGATTTCTTTGTTCTTAAAATAAAACTTTAAGCTGGAACAGTTATCATTCTAGAAAGAGTCATTCTTGATCATTCTGCTCATCAGTAACTCAGTACCTACATAATGTAAGGATTACTGTAACCTAATAAAGGAGACTACACGAAGAGAGTTGGGAATTCTAATAGCATAGCCTCTCAGTATTTCTCTTTAGTTAGAAAATGAAGTTTGCTAGGAAGAACACAAGTTCTAGATGATGCCACCCACAAAAGGGAACTCAGAATACTCAGCTTCCAGTTTGTGCATTTCTGAGCTGTTGAAAACCGTAGTTCAAGTTCAGCTGTTCCCTTGCTACTTGTTTAGCATTCCCAAAGAAGGCACTTCTGTTTCTTGCTTGCTCTCATGCCCGCAGTGCTGCTGTGCTCTGTAGCTAAAAAAGCATTAGACTTGAAGTCCAGAAGCAGTGCTCAGCTGTGGAGCCTCTCTCTACCTAGGAGGACTGCACTCTGAAAATGGAGGGTCTTAATTGACAGTACTTTCCAGGCACTGTATTTGTAAATTCAAAAGCATCCATAGTTGGCTGTAATTACGCTCACTTGCAGATGGAGTACTTAGAATGATGATACCCAGAAATACTCTCAGGACTTTCTCTAGCAGTTACACAGAAGTGTATTTGGAGGTTTAGCATAGTGCTGACTTAGCGCCACCAGGAAGGAAGAGATCCATCATCTGTCTGCTTAATAGAGGTAAGACAGGGAAAGCAGTTCCTAGTTTACATATAGTCAGACTAGCCTTTAGGTCCTGGATTTTTTTTTCAGGAAGTCCATACTCTCTGCATTGAAAGTCCTACACTAGAAAACAGTTTAGACTTAATGCAACATTTCATGCTGTCTTATGGCTTCTCTATTTTTTTTTTTTTTCCCCAAGATCCTGAACGGTGGCACTCCAGACATTTCTTCAGCTGGATTACTATCTGGGCAAATCCAAGATAGCTCTGGTTACCCATATTCTGATAACTCCTCTATTCTTGGTAAGTGAAAGCATACAGAAACATGCCTCAACTTCAGCTAAACACACAGACAGCTGTAGCAGGATGACCATTGTTAGCAATGATGTGCCTTTATCATCTGCAGTACATAGCTGAGCAGTGAAGCTTCTAATCTGCTGTGCCTTAAGAGGTAGCAAGCAGAGGAGCCTGGCAGCCTACTTTGCTAGCTTAAGTGTATTTGGAAGCCCCTTTTCTCTGTCTGAAGGTACTTTTTATGAGTACTTCTCAACAGCTGGGAGGAGAGACAGGGTCACAGCCTGGGTATGTCTGAGAGGTGACCCGACCCTTGTACTCTGACTACCAGGCATCAGATGTATCCCTGCATCTGGCTACCAGATCTGATCACACACTCAAAATAGCTCAGCCAGTTCAGGTACTCAAGTCACACAGCAAGCAAAACAAACAAAACAGAACAGCTTCTGACACCAGACTCATTGTATTTATACTTACAGGGGAGAACTCCCACATAGGCATCGACATGATTGACAACGATCAGGGATCGAGCAGCCCTAGCAACGACGAAGCAGCGATGGCAGTAATAATGAGCCTTCTTGAAGCAGATGCAGGTCTGGGTGGCCCCGTAGATTTCAGTGATTTGCCATGGCCCTTGTAAATGATGCACCTTGCTTCAACATCCAAATATCAAAGTGCATTTATTGGTGGAGTTCTGCAGTCTGTGAAACTCAGTGGATGGAGAAGCTTTTATGTATGAATTTCATAAAAGCCATATCAGAATGCAACTCATTCTTACCATGTGTAATGTCAGACAAAGTGGAATAACCCGCTACAGTGTTCCGTGTTGATTTGGTTAGCTGTGTATAGCTTGCAATACCTGTATATTTTGGATTCTGTTATTTGAATTTTTTTTTAATCACTGTGCAACTCACGGGCATCAGTGGTAGCTTTTATATGCAAATGACCATTTCAGATGTATGGTGTGTTTTTACACTGCAAAACAGTCCCCATGTGGATATTTCTTATACTAATTGTACCATAAAGCTGTTTATTCTTTCTTGTAAGAATCCTTTACTATAAATATTGTTAAAGTGTAATGTATTAGACAGTTAAATATTTTTAAAATAAATGTTTCCCTTGTTCTAAGATGGAGCATTTCCTTTGATAAATAAATTTGATAAAACCCTGCTGAAGATGCATGCAAGAAGCAGTTGCCTATTTATCATTTCTTTAGCTCTGAAGGAAACAGAAAAATCAATGCCTTACAGACACTTATGGAATTCTGTCACTACACTGCATTCTTAAAGATGATATTACTTAGAAATTTCAGTTTAAACTATAAAAAAATCCCTTAGCAAGGTGAGTTAAGGCAGACAGCGCAACAGATATCTGATTTTAGGAAATAGCCACTTTTCACTCTTACATTTGAAGTCATCTCCAACCACCCTGAAAAAAGCAAAAAGCAACTTACGAACCTCATCTGTATATTTAATCTCACTCACACATAATTCAAACCCATTAAAATAATGGAAATTTTATTTGCATGAAAAACTCGTTTACAATCAGTAAATGAAGAATGAACCATTTGCATTTTCCTATTTCATGACACTTATGAAAAATTTAGTAAATAAATACTTGTGAACATAATAAAGTAAGGCAAAATTTAAGATAAAGCCCCTATCCATTGTTCACAACTTTTGAACATGGCTCACGCTGCAAACAAGTGAAAAAATTCACTGAAGAACTTTAACAAGGAGTTACGTGGGTAATTGAATCACGTCCTCAATCCAAAAACCCAATGATAAGTAGTTTTGTGCTCAACCATATGCAATAACTTTAGAAGGGTCAATCTATTCAGAGCAAAACTATTTATAGTTAATACTTTTGATAGAAGCACTTTGTTAGTATTGTGCAATAGATTTATAAAAAATGGCTTGGAATTCCATTTATCAACCATTTGTAAAGTGCTACTATCAATGCCAAATCCTGCATTCTAACCCCTGTGTAACAATACTGAACGCACACAGCCCCCGGCATCCTGGCAGTTTCGATGGGCTTCAGAGCGAGGACAGTCCGGCATACAAATAATCAACATCACAAACCTACCGGTGAACAAATACATGTAACTGTAACCCCAGAATGTTTTATCTGTACCCTTTCAAAAACAAGCAGAGACTCCCCTTGGTCTTTCCAAAGGTCCATACTGCAATATCCTAAACACCATTACACAATGAAGAAAACTGGAATTGCAGTGTAGTATGAATTGAGTACAGGGCTGCTGTAATGGAGCATGCTTTATTTTTTATATCAGTCTAAATCAAAGGGGCAGGTTCTGTCCCTCAGTATCCATCTCACTGTTACTGGGTGGAGGGTGAATAGGCAGAATATCCAGCTCATCTACTTGGGGGGTAGGATGCATTACCACGAGCTGGTCCTGGGGTATATCTGCTGCCGCTGCTGCTAGGTTTGTAATAGATTTGCTTTTCACACACTGGAAGTCAACGTGCCGGCTCTTTCCTTCCTCCTTCTCCCATGACATCCGAATAAACGGCCTCTGGACATAGTTGTAAATCACCTCTGGTCTTCCACCTGGTCGCTTTTTCACTTTCTCCTTGTATGTAGGGTAACCTAAAAAACATTACAGTACGGCAGAAGTTAACACTGCTTTCTGGTGAAAGAAAACCCTGAACTAAACAGTACGAGAAACACATGAAGCATAATGAAGATGAGCACTTGTTTACCATCAGCAGCCAGAATGGAAACACTCAGCTGTGCTGTTCTTGATGTTATATAAGCAAAGGCAACACAGAGACAGAGGCTGCACTACCGCACAAGCTGTAATAAAAAAGGCTGCAATGCTCCTGATGATGCAGATGTTTCCAAGACAACTCTCCAAGCTCCACAGCAAAGCCAGTTGTTCTGTGAACACTGACCTGCAAAGTGAGACCTCAAAAAGAGACCTCAAAACTAGAGAGCAGTGCCACTTTGATCTGCGGTTCAAGTCCCCAAGCAGAATCCTAGCACTGCAATTCATCTCACATCCTCCCAGCTTCCCCAAGCTAAGAAAATATAGTTTTAGACCAATCCTTTCCTCCTGTGCTCTAAGCAGCAATTTTCATTACTAGAAAGTTGCACATAACTATGGCATGCGAGCATTGAGTCAAACTGTTGCCCTTTGTTTAAAACAAATGCCAGCAAAAATAATCTCTTATTAGCCAGCATTACAGATGGAAACAGTTCTTGAGTAGTTTAATGGCATGTCAGCTAGGAGGCTCATGCTTCGTTCACTTGAACTTATTTTTAAGTTCACAAGTTTTTGATGCATTTGCTTTTCGTTGGCAAATTACAAACGTAACCATGACAACTGGGTGTGTGAATGCTAGAAATTGACAAGTGACAAAAGGCTGTATTTTTAAATATTTGGGTCAACAATCAAAGAAAACACAATAGAGAGCAGCCCAGTTGTTACATCCATGATAAAAATCTAAGCCAACTAACTGTACTTGTTTTTCACAATGCCAGAGCTGAGATTTTTACCCATCAGCCTCCTCAAGGCACAAGATGCTTATTTCACAGAATCACAGAATTGCTCAGAATCGTAGGGGTTGGAAGGGACCTCCAGAGATCATCATCCAACCCCCTGCCAAAGCAGGTTCCCTACACCAGGTCACACAAGTAGGTGTCCAGGCGGGTCTTGAACATCTCCAGAGAAGGAGACTCCACCACCTCCCTGGGCAGCCTGTTCCACTGAACAGATTTCAGATTAATATTTCTTTGCACTTCAGTGATGCATTTAATAGGTTTCCATTTCCTAAAAGAAAACAGCTAGATGCAACTTAGATTTTTCATTTCGAGCCCAGAAAAAGACACGAGACCAGGAACAACATATAAAAGCTGTAAAAGGACTCCAGGACTTCAAATGAAGTAGAGCAAGAACAGAGAAGATTCTCATGAAAACTGAAGGGGAACTGCATGAGATGCAGCCCTAAGATGCTACAAACCATGTAAGCTACTCAGCAGCTATGTAAGTCTTGTGGAGCAGCCAAGCCTGTAATCAGGTTTCCAGCTGGACCAGTTGTTTATTGACTACCACTCCCCCCAGCCATGTTGTCATCTACTGTCAGTGATGTCACCCCACAAGGTGAATCAACCCTTGTATCTTCAATTGTACAGATGATCATAAAGCCTTACCTTCAATGCCCAATCGGATCTTCTTGAGCCCTCTTTCCTTCAAAACAGACTTGGCAACATCTCTATTTTCAATGTATTTGAAGAATCTATACAACTTTGTGCTGTAAATAACTGAAAGTACATTTTAATGAGGAAAAATTGTACTCAAATGATTCAGCTTCTGGTCCTAGAAATAAGGTTTCATTATCTTTTTTCATTGTCCTGCTTTATATAACTGTTTGTTACTCCAGAAGGAGTGGGAAAGACCTAAAAGCTCCTCAAAACACACGAAACAGAAACCAGAAAAAAAGTGGCAGAAGGCACTGTGAAACTGGTTGGTTGCATCTGGTAATTCTTCTTATCATTTAGTTTTTAATACATGTAGTAAAAGAACTCACAAATCACACTAAATACTCTCAATGCATCCTCAACAAAGGATTTTTTTTTCCCCCGGGTAAGATGTAATTCCTTTACACATTCTAGGGAGTTCAGCCTTCAAAGTCAGAAACCTCAAATGCCTTCTAACAGTAAAAATTAGCTCCTCTTCTTAATTAGACTTGAATGAAGCAAAACAGTGAACAGAACTGACAAAGCTAATTTTTTTGAAGCATCTGGATGTTATCACTAGGAGTGCTCACACATACATAAGTTAGATGAGCACTTTTACTACCATGGAGCAGCAAGGCAGAAACAAAATAACCTTACTTTGCGAATACTCCTCTCCCATTTGAGGAGGATACTCTTCGTCCCAGTCAACAACATCATCATCCGTCAGCACAACAATGTGGCACTCCCGCTCACCACTTTGGGCACTGGCAACCATTAAGGGGAGAATCATTTCTTCGAGGTAAAACTCAAACTGTTTGCGAGCACCATCATTTGACAACTCATGCATGAGAGCACCTGGAACATTTTAAAAAGCATTGAAGTTGGTTAAGAAATGAGGGCAGGAGCAAGAAACACAGAACTCTGTTCACTTTGCAGTATTTACTGCAGACAGCTGTAAAGACACTTAGTTCATTAGTTTGAATATGATCAGAACTTTTTCCCATTTCCACTGTAAGCTGCACCAGGACTTCTAACTGACAGCACTGTCCTGCTGGTAGGACATTCACATTCACTGTGTAGACAGTGGCACAACTTCCAAGTGGACTTGCTTAATGTTTTTACTGCCCCTCAATGTGAGGAAGTTGCACGCAAGACTCCTCTTGGGTTTCCTAAAAGCAGCACTATTTAAGCCTGCTGCTGAAGGAGTAGTGCATGCACCCACTTTTCATAAGCAGCAGTTTAAAACCAAAATCCTCTCAAAATCCTCAAAGCATCAGCTCTGAAATCCTGCTAAGACAGAGCGACTGAGCAGGCAACATGTAGTGAAGCCATGGCACTGCTGATGAAGGCACAGGTGCCCTGTACATATCTTACATGTCTTACAACTGCACAGCCACCACAAGATCACAGCAACCAGAGACATGGCCAGGTGATCTGACCTGCTGGCCAACGCTTTGGCTGCATTCAGGGAAGACACCAGCTGGACATACACTGCACACTCATAACCATGATGCACCACCAGCACAACTCTACTAAACTGCACTAGCAATACAGCTCAGTTTTCATGGGCAGGGACTTGAATAACTTATATTCCCTCTCTTCTACAAGATACCACTTAATGCTAGTGTATCCCTACCACAGGTAAATCAGTACAGCTTAACTATTACACACTTCCAACCAGGGCACTAAAATATTTGAGTATCACATATTTCAATATCTAAAACATGATTTTTCACAAGCTGCATATCCATTTGGAGCCCTACTTTAAGAAAAAAAGGACGGATTTTGTTCATATAGTATCAGATGTGTTCCTTATTTCAATAAAGAAAAATCTGCAATTAATCCTTCAGATATTTGCTTAAGTTAGCCTGTACAATTCATTTTAATAAAGTGCATACTTACTGAGATCCCTGCATTTAATAGTACTG